TTGTCTCGCAGGGGGATAGCTCTTGAAAAATAAGATTAGCTGCCTTCACGGCAGACTTATTCTGCATATTCAGATCTTAATTTGCCAGCTCCTCTCCAGCAGTCTTGTGGTGCATAGCTGCACTGTTTTTCTCTCTTTCTGCCTAGGACTTTACATTTCTAGTGGTTTTGAATTTCACTACACTGCAAAAAGGCCCCTGCTCTTGTTTCTCCAGATCGCTCTGGTTCTGTCCTCTTCCATCCACTCCTTCATTTTAAAGGGGCAGGGGAGAGGAGGTTTTTCCACTGTTGTTACAGCCTGCATCTTCCCATCACTCCCTAAGGACAATATTAAAGCCTCCTTCCCCTATACACAACGTTAAATCTGTTTCTTTGACCTGGACTCCTAAGCCATGGCTTACATAGCATGTACAGAAAACCTGTTTTACTTATCTTTTTTCTAGTGGCTGTACAGACTCAGCTTAGTGTCATCCACCTGCTCCTACCCACTTTATTTTTTCATACTTCATAAACTGGTAATTATGCCAAAGGATAAGTTTGTTTTGCATGATCTGCTTTATATAAGTGCGTTTGGCAATTCTCAAACTTTTATCTGGAGCATCCACATGCCAGAATATTTCCCATTGGAACTGTTCTCGGTGTAAGTTAGCAAATACCATAGATAAATGGGATGGAGGAATAAGCAAGAAAGACTTGTTTATACAGCTATCAAAATCTGTGCCAGGTTAGGGAATGCAGAATAGGATAAAACCTCTTCAACTCCATTTTAGTCTGTAGCAGGATCACACCATCCTGTTAAATAGCCACACAACAACCTGGAGGAAAGGATAGGATCCCCAGGTCAAACGACATTTTGGAGCAGTCCTGGACAAGATACCTGAACTCCCTGCTCTCGCAGGGCAGAGGACACGGGTGAGGGACTGCCAGCCCCTGCCTTGGGGACAAGGCACCAAACCTCACACAACTCCGCTGCCTTTCCCTCCTGAACGCCACTGAACGCCACTTCCCTGGCAGGGTTGGAAGGGTCTCGACAGTAGGTGCCTGTACGGGCACGTTCAGCACACCCAGCCTTCCTGGGAACTACAGGAGGGCAGGGAAACGCGAGCTTCTGCAGGCAGCCCAGCAGCCAAACGCCCCACAGGATTCCCACAAAACCCCACAGGGCAAAGCCGTGCCAGCGGGACCTGGAAGGGGCAGTGGCAGAGAGCCACCCACCTACATGCGAGGGATCCCTGTAGTGCCTTCCGAGGAAACGGGCGCTTCTCACCGCTCTGATCCTGCCGACGTATTTCTCAGTGAACTCGGATCTTGCCTCGGGGCACTCGGTGCTATTTGATTTATCCAAAGGAATAAATCCTGCTCCGGTCCTTTCTGAGCTGGCACACCACAAGTGCCTTGAACCTGCATGCGCCAGGTCTTGGCTACACACTGGCCTTGACTGGGGCATCCTCTGCTACTTCATCCTGATCCCTTCCCATTCTTCTCCTTCCTAAGGTGACCAGCCTGGAAGCAAAAATATACCCAGGAAGGAACCAGGCCAGTTCCCTCACTTGCCTTTTCTCCTGTAATCTCCCCTAGCCTCTCTTGGCTTTGCCTGGTGCCTTACCACAACTGCCCACGGAGGCACCAGGCGCTGTGGCACAGCAGTCACCCCCGAGGCTTCCCCATGTTTGCTGGGGAAAGGCTCCTTCCCCAGGGAGCCAGTGAGGCAGGCTGAAGGGGAAGGCTGGAGCAGGGAGGGAAGAGGCTTGCTTGCCGCCTGCCGTCAGAAGCCTGAACTGAAGAGGAAGATTGCCGTGATCCCGACGCCTCCGCCAGCTAGTCCAGGCCTCGGCTGGCCTGACGCGTAGCCAGGGGACCCTCCTCTCCTCGCGGCCCACCTCTCTGCTCTGGCACCAGCGTGCACAACTGCATCTTCAAGACAGCCACATCACGACACAGTTTTGGTTCTATCCACGTGTGACTTCCTGCTGTGTGTTACCTGTACAGGAAAACTGCGTTACAAACTCCACCTGCCCTCTCTACAACCTTCCAGATGGCCTGCTTTAAGGGAAGTGATGTGCACTTTGCCTATGAAAAACAATGATCTGTATTTATAGTTTAACCTCAAGCCATAATCAGTGCCAAAGCTCAGCAAATAAGTAAGCATGGGACAAAGACCTTACACTTAAGTCACTGCAAGGGCTCAAGCCACTTTTACAACAGCAGCTTGCCTGCTGCAAGGTGCAACCCCCTATTCTGGAGGAATAGAGGGTTTCACCAGGAAGAGCTGTCACACCCACACACAACATTGTAAGGAAGAGAGAAAGCCACATAGGTGCCAATGAGTGTAGCTATAAGTTATTTATTCTGCAAAATAGAGGTATCTTCTATGGAGTTGAACACTGGAATCACAGCATTATGAATTGAGTTGTGGAAACATTATGACAGCACACACACACGCAGGCACACACGCGTACACCTACACACGCGCACACACGCAGCCTTTGTACAGGCCTCTACTCTTGCATTATCCAGAGGGAGCCCTCTCTGCATTTTTATTTGCAAAAATCTGCAGCGAGGGTTGCATTCAAGACCCCTTCCCGTATTCACAGGGCTTCCGAGGGAACGAGGTTGGTCAGGATTGGGTGCATGGCACAGGCAACAAGTCTGTAGAGAGCGCTGCACGCGCTCCCAGCCCAGTGTTCAGCACATCCTGGATAGGAGCTAACTCTCGCCAGAACACAGCCCTTGGTGGAACGCTCTCATTCTCGCCTCAGTCTTTGCTCATGCAGCCGAGCACAGGGTGTCTGGAGGAGGCAGATTTCCATGTTAGGACACAGTCAGTGCTCCCTGCTCGCCATGGTCCATGTTCCAAAGCCGGTAAAACTCTGCAAAATCCACGTAAGGCTCCACACGCCCATCTTCATCTGGCTGGAGCGAGTGGGTGGGTCGGGAGCGGAAGAGACCCCCGTCTGAACTTGAGCTGCTACTCTGCGTGTGAGTATTAGTCGACTGGAGCGTCACAGTTGGGCTTTGGCTATGGAGAGAAAAAGAGAGAACACAAGCATCTTTATTTTTCCCCATCTGATGCTTTGGACGAGAAAAGCACCAGAACAAGTGTCAGATCAGATTGTCTTCTTCACAGATCAAGCTATCCTTAGCAAACAGGTAAAAAGTTGCAGCCTCTTGCTCTATCAGAGTACTAGAAATGTTGAGAACTGCCTGGAATTGATGAATGCTGAAGATATCTGACTCACATTTAACTGGAAGGCCTTAAGTACAACCAGGCATCTGAGGAACAGAGGAGAGGAAGCAGGAAAAAAAAAATCGAGGGAAAAAAAAAAAACAGCACTCTGCTGGCCTCCCCATACCCATACAGTATGAGCTTTACGGGAAGAGTCTGGCAGCAAGAAAAGCTATTCTTGCGTGACGTGCGTTGCAGCCAAAGCAGTTCTAGTGCGTCAGCCTCATTGTTTCTGGAGCTACCAGAACACAATAACCAGAGAGCTTCTTCACTTTGCAGCGTGTACACATACCACCCTGTGCCAAAGGCTCAACCTAAACCAGAGCCACTAACTAGCGTGATCCTGCAAAATGGATCCAAATAGGATCCAGTTCTAACCTTTATCCTTTTTTTCTACCCTGGCCTCTGCCTCCAAGCAAGCCAACTTGTGCAGCACAGCCTCTCCAGCAGCCTTACAGGTGACCTCCATAGCCCCTTTTCCTTATTAAAACGAAGGGCACCCACACTCCCTCCATGCACAGCACCCAACACACTTGGCACCCAACATCCAAAGAGAAGGGCTGCTCGCTGCCAGAGGGCCCTCTGCGAACAGCAGCAGATGCTGCTCCCAAGGCATGTTCCCAGAGCTGGCTTCAGAGCTGCTCGCTTTACTCATTCCCACTCTCACACAATCGCTTTCCAGCTAACACGTTACGCTGGCTGTCAATACTGCAGTCAGGAGGGCCATGCTCCAGATAAGGGAATGATTGACAGGTAACTGACAGGCGTCTCTCTGCTTTTCAACCACTTCACACAGTGTGAGGTGCAGGGAAACCCAGGGTAGCAAGAGAGCAGGACTTTTACTTAGTGAGGGTGGGGGTGGCTTCATCCAGAGTTGAGCTGCTGTGGGCACCATTGACCATCTGGCCTTGGGAAGGCATGACAAGAGACAGCGTGACACTCGTCTTGCTTGTGCTTTGGGAGCTGGAATACGGCACAGAGACTGGGTAGACACGACCTCCTGGGAAGAGAGAAAACACGAGTTATAAAATGCAGTTGAGACATGAGTAACTGGGGGTGCACAGCAGCAAAGAAAGGCCAAAGAACCCAAGAATTTATATTGAACTGCCTTTCTTAGATGCTGTAATGTATTCTGTCAAATTGTCACAGACTCTACGTCTCAGAAGCCAATAATCCCTTTAATAAGAAAACTCCTTCTACACTGAGTATCTCCTCTCCTGATGTTAGGTCACTGCTGGATTGATCAAGAGATTTTATCTTCCACCTCCCATTTTGTTTCATTCTCTCCCCAACATACCTTGCGTTGGTGTCAGCGTGGGCTGGCTCATCTCACCCAGGGGGTACCCAAAATTCCTCACAAGCAGCGTCATGTCTTCATGCCGGGGACAGAACTTTGACCGTTCCCCACCACTGGCAAAAGTGTCACAGTGGATCCGCTTAACACGGTCCACTACTGCTTGTGCCACAGCATCCAGCGATGTCTGCTTGGCAAACTCTGTGGCTATCATGGCTGCAATTTTCTGGGGAGAGGAGGGGGGGGGGGAAAAAAAAAAAAAAAAAAGAGGAAGGATGTTTAGGAGATTTTGGAGGAAACCTTTTCCTGCCATCTGATCTAAGACTTTTTACAGCAGCTCATCCAACTGATGCTTGCCAGTCTCACCTGCTGATGTGTGCCCTTGTGCCTTGAATCATCCCATACCCTTTAACGGGCTACCCCTAAGGGACATGCAGCTGTCTAGAAGAATTGGCTTGGCAAAGCAGCTCCCATATCATTACAAACTGGAACGGGGTGGCACAGGCATTCAACCTGGCCAGCACTCACAGGAGAGATGAGGAGGAAAGTCTGTATGAGAGCAGCTGACACTGCCGGAATGAGTCAATAGCCAAGGGAATGTTTCCCGTGTGAGCAGACTCACCTGGTTGGCCTGCCCAGGCCCATGAGCTGCCTCCAGTGCTTTGTAGAGCCCTTCAGACATGAGCACCAAGAAGCCAGTCACCCCATCCAGCGAGTGCCCTCCGTGGATTTCAGGCTCTGCTATGATGGGCTTAGATTTAGCGGCACTGGAAAGAGACAGTGTTATTTAGTATTCAGTGGTGATATAGTAGGTGAGAATGGGGGGGTCATGAAGAAAAGGAGGGCTTGAAACCACAAAGTTGAGTTTTTCTGACCTGAGCAATTCAATATCAGTATAGCCGTATTTGACTTTGTAATCTCCAATGCGCCGAGTGCTTTCCTGCCCTCGGATAGTTCCCACTTGTTTTATTTTCCCTGCATCCAAGCCTGCCAGATTGAAAAACAGAAAAGTTTGATTGACTTTGAGAAACTTGCAGGACTTCCTCTGCTTACACTGTCAGGAATGAGAAAAGAAATATCCACAGCCAAAGAGAATTTTAAGAGAAAATGAGATGCCAAAGAATCATCAGGAGCCCAACTGACAGAAAAGGAGGAGCAGTTTGCTGTGTTCCAAGGGACACCTTTTCATTAGTTGTAATCTGGGAAGGAGAGAGAAGGAGAGAGATGCACACAGCCCGACATGCGCACTCTGAATGCAACGGCTGGCCCAGAGACAAAGCCCACATCCTGGTCCAAAGCAGCTGCAGCTGGCCTGGGCGCACAGGCATTCGCTGAAAAGGTAGGGGAACACCTGCACCTGTCAGGATTGCACGATGGGAGAAGGCAGGAAGGAGAAAAACATATGTGAAGGATTCTGCTGCTTCTTCTGCCTATTATTGATCCCTGCTCCTAAACTCCACATGACAATTTCACTAATGCGCTAGATTGCAGAGGGAGAAAAGGAGAACTATCTACAAGAGGCACTGAATTTGCTCAAGTGCTCAAACTGATGTGGGCTACTCCTAAAATAAGGACAATGACAAAAGAAGTATTTATTTAAATAAATTTAAGGGGCTATACCTCTGGCAGAGGCTAGGAAGGAATCCCATCTCGAAAAAGGTTCTAACAGGGACCATCTGGGTGCGGCTACTATTTGAGGCAGGACTCAGAGCAGATGAGCCACTTACCTGGTCTGTTCTGGCAATTCCCCTTTCCTGGTTATACCTAGAGCTAACAGGCAGAAGATGTTATTTTGAGATTTTATCTAGGGATGACTGTCCTCAGTGCAAGGTGAAGGCAGGGGTCCAACTGAAACTCTCCGAGTCAAACCAAGCCTCACTGCACAGATGGCTCCACACCTACCCCAGCAGTAAGACACAACTCTGCCATCTGCTGCAGACCAAAGCTGACTCACCAACATGGCCTGGCTCATTTGCCAGCTCCTGGCAGGGGGATACATGCTATCGACAGACACAAACACAGGGAGGCTCACAGCACGCCAGAGAGGTGGCGTCTAAATCACAGCAACTCTCCTGGAGCACTGAACAAGCTGCAATGCGCTGAGTGAAGAGCCACGAAGGCCTAAGACCTCTCCCTTCCTTCCCCCAGGAGAGGTGCGACACAGGCACCATCACGACAAACGCTATCCCCACTACCTCTTATCACTATGCTTCAACCTAGCCCTACAACCTCCTTTGGGCCCCCAAAACAGCCTGTGCACACTAGCTTGTTCCACAGGCTCTCCCTCTGCTGGGATTGCCAGCAGGAGAGCCACTGCTGCGCCACGTTAAGGTTGGTATTTCTAGCAGATCCCTGTTCTGCTATGGACTGCAGCTAAATTCTGCATTTTTGGCAGTAGAAAGGCAGTCAAGGGGTCTCTTTCATTCAGTTTTCTGTTTCATAGCACATACCCCCACTGCAGGAGTGTAAGTAAAAGAGGAAAGGAAAAAAACCAAGACCTGGCTGCAGAAAATTACCACATCAACAGCCTCACCAGATAAGAATGTATCTACCAGGTGAACCTAATGAAGAATGCCAAGTTAGAACTACCTAACCAAAGGTACAGAACATAAGTATCTCAATAAGAAGAATTCGGTACTAGCAGTCACACAAGTGGTCTCGGCTAGTTCTAGACACAGGAAGAAAATATGTCAAACACTGTAAACAAAAAGGGAAATTGCCTAAAGCAAAATGTCAGCATTAGAGTTCAGTAGTTACTGATGTGAGAGCAGTAAATGCCAGTGCTTGGCCTGGCTCTGAAGCGTAGCTGCTTTTTTTGCAGCAGCTTGTACAAAGGCATATTAAAACGCACCATTCCGAGGGTGCAGCATCACACAGAACTTAACCCAGCATAACTGTGGTTTGCCTCCAAAGGAGTAGTCATGTACTGTCCATCCCGCTTCTACCCTCTGGCTATGTGCTTCCATTCCTGCCTTCCTATCGACTCCAGCAATCACACAGCCGGAGGGCAAATCGATGTCAGTTTGGTAGTCGGACATGAAACTAACTCTCAAAACTTGAAAAAAATGGACAGTTTTCTGCTGGTTCAGTGAACTCAACTTACTCACTCTGTAGCCTCACAATGGCTAGATATGCAGGAAAAGAAGGCACTGAACTTGTCATTTGAAACCACAGTAAGCTTCTTTTTGTGGTCATTTATTGTTTCCAGTGGCTTGAGTCATTCCTGGTGCCCCAGGAATGGAGGCATATGATGTTCTCGGATAAGAACATGAAACCCAACACTCACCCAGCTGGGAGAAGCGAAAAAGTTCATCCTCATTCTCTGTCGTATGGTCCACGTTGAGCTGAGTCACCTGCAGCCCATCCACCGTGGACTTGCATAACAGTGCCCGATTGGTACCTGCAGTGGGAGCAGCGAGATGAGGCACCAGATAGCTCTGCCATTAAGAGGGAGAACATATCCAAATGGAAAAGGAACAGGAGAGGGGAATAAAGACAGAAGAGAAAAGAAAGGCTCATGTACTGTCTCATCATGATGTCCAAAAAGTAGCCTTGCTAAGCAGCATAGTAGGCCTGCTAGGCAGCTCTTCAGGCCTGAGCTGGTACCTCACAAGAAAGCTCTCCACTTCTCAGTGAATCTGCACTACTGCCTCTCAACCCATTTTCCCTCTGTTCTTTGGTCATACACGTTGCATCAGCCAACATCTGCAGAGATAAAGAGCCAGGCTGATTTCAAGTGCTCCTATAAGTAATAAGCATATTGCTCCTTGGCCACAGACCAAGAAAAACTGTCCCTCACATTCAAATTTCTTTCATTTCCTAGAACCACAGCCATCCTCAGAAACGCCAAGACTGAGATGCTGGCAAAAAACAACTCACCCACATTGGCGATATAGAGCTTGTTGTTGAGAACAACAGCCACAATAGCCATAGCTCCTCCAGAGATCTCCTGCTCTACAGCCTTCAATCTCTCCACAATTTTCTGGTACTGAGGCGGCAGCTGGTGGTGAGGGACACCCTGGAACCCAAAGTGAGGGGGAAGCTTAAACACACAGTCCACAACACAGAAACCACAGCTGGAATCAAAATTCTGTAGGGAGGGGACTCGTCTTGGCATGTCTTAGCCTCATGCCAAGACTGTGCAAGACATACAATTATTTGTTCAATCCTAACAAATGACACGGCTCTGATAAGATTCTGGAGATGACAGTCCAGTTCACCTGAAGAACAGAATCCGCATCTGCCCAGATGCCACGCAAATTTGAGGGTTTGCCTCTCATCTGCGTCATATGGCTTTGTCCTGGAAGAGCCACACGTACAGGTTGAACTCCTCTCCATGGTATGCTCAGTTCCTTACCAAGATAACCAATGACGGGTCTAATTAGTGCCAGTATGAACAGTGGGAACTCTGGGAAATGGACCAAGACGCTTGCTTTACTTCACACAAGCTCCCAGAAGAGAACCACAGAGAAATAATTTTCAATTACAGTCTCCCTTGGACCAGACTGACTAATGTGCTCAAGACTCATCCAGCAATCTCTGTTCTTTAGGCTACATTACCTCTGGTAGCTGGGACTGCAGGCTGGCCTTCTCTGCCAAGGAATCATCGATGGACTCCAGGAAACTTCTTTCTACCACATCAAAAGCCTAAAAAAAAGGCCATAAAGAGAAACTAAGATCTTATCCAATACCTACAGGCCTTTGAGGCTACCTGTCCCCACCTCCTTAAGACTGGCTTATAGTGGTCGGTCACTGTACATACAGACATTCAAGGATCACTGCGTCGCATTGAAATACAATTATTTTAGCGCAACTAGTTAACAGCTTGTAAAAACAATCTGCAATTACTCAAAACAGGAGACAAAAACATAAAAGTTACATTCAAAGCAATGTCAGAGACCTATCTGATTTTGTGGGTTGATTGTAAGAACTTGTCTATCACTCAAGAAAGCCTACTCACAAATCCATCTCCCCACCTATTAACTTCCCCCTTTCACTCATTGTCATCTCCTTCACAGGCTGACTTGTTCCTACATGTCCAGTGAAGGCCAGCTGCAGCTTCCTGGAGAGCTCTCAGCAGCATGCTGACAGAGCCAGGGGGACAGATGGGTATGAGGCGGAGGTGAAACAAAGCTCTACAGCTGCTCAGGATGAGTGCAATTGCAACCATTGGCAGATGTTTCCAACCCCCACAGAAACAAGATGCTGCTCCCCTGGTGGCAAAAAGAGGAGGTGGGTAGTGTGAGAAGCAGGAGCCGTTCCCAGCCAAAGCTTCTTTACCTGCAGCAGAACTCGACGCACATCAGCATCGCTGTGATCTGCGTGTAGCTGGCCCAGCAGCAATTCTGCAGAGAGTCTCTGACCCACGAAGTTGGTGACCCGATTACCATCATAGCCATTGAAGACACCATAGAGGTAGCAGTTGTTCTCACTCCTATCAAAGAGGGCAGAAGCAAAGAGACACAGACATATGTAACAAGTTCCTCCAGACACCTCCTGCACGCTCGCGCCCCACCCTCTTCTTCCAAGTCCTGTGTCACAAACTAAATACCACTTTTATCTGCTCTTGTGTCTGCAGGAGTCTGTGCAACCCACTTACCTGAATTTTAACCAGTTATCTTCCAAGGGGTGACCTTCTGTCCCTTTGCCATCTGCACTGTAGGAACGGTTTGGAGCTGAGCCCACCCCAGAGAGATGGCATGATGGCAAGTCGTCTGTCCAACTGGGCTGCTGCTCCTGCGAGACAGAAAGAGACCGTGTAAACCCCAAGCAGCCTGAAGTGAGGATCCTGGTTCCAGTACGGGTTACAAGTCCATCTCCACCCTCGTCTCAACCCTTCTCCCTTTGCTAAAAGCGTAGCACACCACTCCAGCCAGTAACTTCATATTCCCTGCTGCAGAACTGGATCACTTACCACCTCCTTTCCCTCTGAAGCTGAGCTCTGGCTGCACCTCCAGCTCTTGCTAACAAGAAACCAGAAGTGAAATTTGCACCTGAGTTTTACACTCGATACAGCACAGCACTACCTATTCATTTGGTGAATCAGACCCTCGCGCATCCGTGGCACGGGAGTACAGGGAAGGCTCTGGTTCCCCGCTGGAGTACACACACCCAGGACAAGAGACTGGGGCCCTGCTGCTGCCAGCAATGAGAGAGGCATCCCTGGGGCCGCCATCTCCCTGGCGCACGCCGCCTGTACACACACA